TGACATATTTTTATGTGGTTCTGCTGCTGCTGGACTCAACAGCAACATGTGACACTGTTGACCAGCAGATCTTGTTGAATCGATGGAACACTGGGTGGAGCTCTCTGGTTCCGCATGGACAGGACTTTCTCCGTTTCCCTTGGTTCGTTTTCATCCAGAGATGCTGAGCTTAGGTGGGGGTTCCCCAGGGCTGTGCTGTGGGCCCCCTGCTGTTCTCGCTCTGTTACCACTGGGACTGTTATTTAAAAAACACAACATTAGCATCCATCTCTATGCTGATGATTGTCAGCTTTATTTGCCAGTTTAGCAAGGGGCCAGGGGTAGCACACAGCAGCTGGTGAATTTTTTACAGGACATTACTCAGTGGATGGGGTCTAATTTCCCGAGTCTAAATGAGGACAAAAAGTCCAGGTTCAGGTGAATTTTGTTGTTCATTTGTGTTTTTACCATTTGAGGCGCTTATCTAAGATTAAGTCGATCCTCACACAACAGGAGTTGGAAACCGTGGCCATGGCTTTTATTACCTCCAGATTAGACTACGGCAGCTCTCTGTATTCTGGCCTGAGCCGGTCTGACTCGGCTGCAGCTGCTCCAGAAAGCTGTTGCCAGGTTTCTTTATGGAGCATGAAAGTGGAAGCATGTCTCTCCCCTCCTGACTGCTTTGGACTGGTTACCAGTGAAACACTGTATCTATTCAAGATCCTGGTCTTTTCTTTAACTCCTTGTCTGGAACTGTCCCACCATATCTGGCTTCACTGCTGACCCGTTATGTCCCTGCAAGATCTCCATGTTCAGGTCAGAGTGACCTCCTGGTGGTTCCACGGTCAAAGCCTAAGTCCAGAGGTGATCGTGCCTCTTTGGTTCTGGGTCCTCGGCTTTGGAACTGCCACTAGAAATAAAACGGTCCACACCGCTGCCCATTTTAAAGCTAGGCTGAAGGTTCATCTTAAGTCAAGTTCATAGCTTTTGTACTCATGTTTAAATGTTCTGATCACTTTTGTTTTATGGCTTTTTTAATCTTCTACTTTATTTTAAATGTTGTACTTCTGCATTTTACTATTTAGCTGTTTTACTGTGTTTTAGTTTTTCCTAACACTTTGTCCAGCACCTTGGGTCCTCTTGAGTGGGGGTAGGAAGGGGCTTTATAAATAAAGTTGGAATGAATAGAATTGTGTGAGCAGGTGAAACTTTTATGGCATTTAAAACAAACCTTACTTACCTAATCCTAGAGCCAGAGGTAGCTCATCTCAGATGAGCTTTAAAGAACAAACTCAGGATGGTGTGAGGTGAGTTTGTCTCACTGCAGAAATAAAAACACACACGGAGCGTCAGCAGTCTGTCAGGTTCAGAGCAGGAGGAGTAGGACCCAATATGCAGAGCACCAGACGACATGAGGCAGAAGTAATTGAAAAAAGGTAAAATCCTTTATTTTGGGAGTTTATCCAAAAACGACGGACAGGAAGTCAATCCAGGTATCCAGAAAACACGAACAAGTTCAGGAGTCATTAAACGAGCAGGAGTCTCAGCTTTTACACGGGGGAACTAAACACGCTGACAACAACAATGGACCGACAAACACTGAGGGACAAGACGGGGCTTTTAAACAGAGAGGGAGGCAATCAGGGGAACAGGTGACAGGTGTGAGGAGTGAAATCTAGAGGGAAGACAGGTGCCATCAATAAACTAAATGGGGGAAAGAACTAAGCAGGAGGGACGATAAACATAACCTGTAAAACACTGAATAATTAAACCTAAAGACTAAGGGCAAATATAAACAACTAATAACTAGAGGGATGAGGAGCACTAATGCAAAAATAAAATAGGAACTACCAGAGAGTAGGAGGAAACATGAGGGAAGCCTAGAGAGAGCTGGGGAACAATGAGACACAGGAGGAGAACCTGGAGTGAGAACAGGAGGGGGCTGGGGACCGGAGGGACACAGTCAGCCGCAGCCGCCCACCAATACTCGTGTGTGTGTGTGTGTGTGTGTGTGTGTGTGTGTGTGTGTGTGTGTGTGTGTGTGTGTGTGTGTGTGTGTGTGTGTGTGTGTGTGTGTGTGTGTGTGTGTGTGTGTGTGTGTGTGTGTGTGAGCGTGAGCATGAGCACCAGAAGCCTGAACAATAACCAGTAGAATAATTAAAGTCATCATGCTAGAGAAGCTTCTCTGGGGTGGACCACACCAGCTTCTGCCACAATAAATTATAATAATAACAATAATAATAATAATAATAATAATAATAATAATAATAATAATAATAGTAAATCACACACAAAGCTGTGAACATTTTAATTTCCTTTCTGAACTATTTCTGTTGAGAGTTTTAATGTTTAAAATCTGTTAGATTGTTACTGACAGCAGCTACATTTAAGTTTCTGTTCTGACTGAACGCTGCTGCAGCATGGAGGTGTAGTTCTCAGTCATCCTGGACATGATCATCCTGAGAGTTTTAGCTGAAAACAGCTGCACGTTTCTGGATGTGTTGCAGACATTTAGCCTCTCATCCCAGAGGCTTCTTCCAGACTTTGGTTGTGGTCAGAAACAAACACACTGGTTGTGCTGCAAGTCTTTTTCTTTTTTTCCCCAAAACATGTTTTTTTTCTAAATGAAGGTGATGTTGTTGTTCATAAAGTTAAAATTCATGTTGGAGTTAAGATTATTTCATCAAGTAGGACCTGTGGTTATCTAGCTCATGTAAAACATGTCATGTCTTGAAAGAATCGGGAATCGAAACAAGGAATTGGAATCGGAATCGTTCAAAATCAAACGATGCCCAACCCTACATCTGTGTTTAGTTTTAACATCTGTTTAAATGTTGTCATGGTTGCTAGGCAACAGTACACTCACCGATGTAAGGGTGTACATCACCATTCAGTTTCTCAGCTGTTCACTTCTAGTCTTCCCAATCAATGAAGGGCCCAGTGTCTGGTCCCATCTGGTCCTGCCTGGTTTTATCTGATTCGGTTTAGTGTGTGTGTGTGTGTGTGTGTGTGTGTGCTAGTGTGTGAGTGTGTGTGTGTGTGTGTGTGTGTGTGTGTGTGTGTGTGTGTGTGTGTGTGTGTGTGTGCGTGTGCGTGTGTGCAGAGACCAGCTTTCATTGACAAAACAACAGTTTAAATAGACTATTGATCGTGTATTTCCCCCCAGGTCTGCAGGAGCCTCCAGCCATTCCCACAAATTTTCACTCCCTCGACGTTAAATGTTCACACAGTAGGCCAGTCTATTAGAGTCAGATCTACAGGTGCTGGGCAGGGTCATTTCACCAGGAACTGGTTTTCATCGTCACTCTTGGCCAAAGCGTTCCTCCTAAAGTGAGCATCCTGGGATATAAAAGGTCAAAGGGTCTTTAATCCATAATCCTAGCGCTGTGGTTGTAATTCCACATAAGCATCAGCATCACTCTGCTGGGCGAGCTTGTGATTGGACGTGTCCCTTCAGGTGTCTCAAAGCCAATCATCTGCCTCCTGCATCCTCCACCCTCACACTGACCACCGTCATGTCCTCTGCTGGGTGAGCAGTACAACAAATGTTTGGTCCCTCCTATTGGGAGGTTGTTTGCAGCTACAGGAGTTGTTCCCACGAAACATCTGGAACCCTCTGAGTAAACCAGCTAACCAAGGCCACCAGACCATGTTCGTCCATTACACCCAAAGCAACGGTGAGGTTCGTCTAAAAAAGGTCCATGTTGTCTTCTGCTGGCCTGGTCGTTGTTTTGGATGTGAGCGTTAGCGAGGCACATGGGAGCTTAACGCTCCACACACAGTCAGGAATGGTGCCCAAGCCTAGGAGAATGAGGGGTGTTGACACCATCTACTACCTTCTAGTCTGCATAGGACTGCTGTAGCCCAACCAACGCACCAACGGTAAAATGTCTTGTTGACAACCCCGTCTTCAGCTCGGCTTACCTACTGTACACTCCATTTGTTGACATGAAGTGATGCTAGTGAGGGAGGTGGTGGCCTGCACTCCCTCAGCTGGTCCTGGTGTTCTGGTTCTGCTGCTCCCAGTGACACCAACAAGCCGTCAGATCTAACGGGTCCATCACTGTTACGCCTGGAGATGAAAACCTGCAGATATTTGTTCTAGCCTCCCTGACGCAGGTGCTCCACTTCTCAGCGTGCTACCTTTTAATTAAAGGAGAAGGTTCATTAGCAACTCTGTTAGTCAGTGGCTGGCCGGTGTCGGCGTGCAGCCGCAGACAAACACGCTGCAGCAGTAGAGTATTATTTAACCAGATGCTCTGTTTCTGGATCACAGTGTAACTGGTCTCCATAGTAACGGGAGGTGACCCCATTCCCGCTCAATCACAGAGGTTATTCCAGGTCACGGTGCTGTCATCACACCATGGTCGTGGTCCTGTAAGATGAAATAGCTTCATGAGTTTATTTTTAATCAGAGTTAGGAGGTGACACCAACTTCACCTGGTGGAGAGCGCCAACAGGAACCCTCAGAAAAAGGTTTTCCCACACAGCTGATGTTTCTCTGTCCAACCTGACATTTCTGGTAAAGAAACGTTTCCATCTTCACGGAGATGCTGGGTTGTCAATAAATCTAATTCATTTAATAAAGATTTAATGACGCTTAGAGCCTCACAACAGTGTCAGCAGAGGTCACGACCTTTAGGTCGTACATCTGCCGGGTTCCCCGAAAGAGGGAACTGGTGAAAAGTGTCCGTTTGTATTATTTAAGCAGGATTATTGTATAAACACAAAACCTCAGATGCCTCCAGCTTTAGGGGAGGACTCGTGTAGAGATGAGGATTAAACGGGCTGGTCCTGGGACAGCTGCAACCTGTACGTGGTCCTCCTTCTAGTCATGTAGAGCGCCACCCCCCTCCACACACACACACACACACACACACACACACACACACACACACACACACACACACACACACACTCGCACACGCACGCACGCACACACACACACACACACACACACACTCGCACACGCACGCACAGGCCCGGTTTTCTGATTAAGTTTGTTCTTCTTGTCTCTTCAGATGAACGAGAAGACGTTCAGAAGAAGACCTTCACCAAATGGGTGAACTTACAGTTGTCCAAGGTAAGACACATCTGGTTCCCATTCTAAACCAGTTTGTCACTGGGCTGTGGCAGTTGGTACACCATCATTCCTCTTGTAGCTGGACCACAATCCAACATGCCAAAAGACACACGTGTCTGAGTTGCTGTCCAGGGTCCTGGATCTGATCCAAGGTTAAAGCAGCTGATTTAATGACTTCTAGAGTAGAAAAAGGTGTTTGTTTTACTGTTGTTGAATAAAAGCAGCCGTGCGTGTGTTACACACCAAAAGACAAGCTGCTTTAGCGTGTCATAAACAGGACTAGTGTCAGTAATAAATTCATGCTAACTACACAACAATCCACTCCCAGGCTACCGCTAACGCTAGCCTGAGCCTCTTCTGAAAGAGAAGAACATCGACGCACACACGTGACGTTCCAGGATGTTCCGGGAATATCCTGAAATGCCTACTGAGTAATCTGGATGCACGGCTGCACACAGAGTTACTAGAAAGAAAGAAAATGACCTTTTATATATAAAAAAAAATCAATGAAAAAGATTTAAAAAATGGTTTAAAAATATATTGAAAATGACAAAAAATAAAAATTGGGATTAAAGTTGTAAGAAAAGGGAGAGAAAATGAAAATGAAATAGAGAAATCAGTGGATCCCCTGAAAGGTAGAAAGAGCAGAACAAGAAGAGGGAGGTGATGAAGGTCCCACCAAACCTGAACAGGTGAGTTTAAAGGAGACCACTGAGTCCACTGATCTCAGGCTCAGGGGGAGAGAGGTCCAGAGTCTGGGGGCTGCAGCAGCAAATGATCTGTCACCTTTGGTCTAACCCTAACCCTGGACCTCAAGGATTTGCTGGGGGTGTAGGGACTGAGAAGATCACCTTTGGTCTTTAGCCTGGTGCGCTGCACAACCAGTAGGTAGTACTAGCTTCAGGGAGCCAACAGGGTGAACCAGCTAATCAGCATCAGCTCATTTGATATTCATGTCCTGGCTGAGTGGGCGGGGCAAACCAATATTTCCATTGCAGAGCTTTAGTATGAGGTTGTGTTTGGCTATTTAGCCAAGCTCCTGGGCCATTGTGAGCCTCAACACAAGTTCATCTGTTCTATGGATGCTCTAAGACAGCCTTTCTCAAATGGGGGTACGCGTACCCCTGGGGGTACGTAAAGAAACTCCAGGGGGTACATCAGAGAAACAGACTGTGTCTAAAAAGAGCTTGATCACAGCATTTGCCTCCCTGCCACCAAGGATGAAAAAGATCCTCAGTGAAGCACAAGCCCAAGTGTCTCACTAAAAAGTCTGTAAAAACACTCCGATCAGTGCAGTAATGTTAAGATTTCAGTCTTCTTTTTGATTTTAAAAAATATATTATGAGATTTACATTTGTTTTTAGCAATTGTTATTTAAAATGACGTTGATGATTTCTTTTAGAGAACAGATATACTATGATCCCAAAAGAGAACACTTTATGTTGATATGCTTTTTATGAGCACAAATCTTTAATTATAATTAGCTTAATCATTTCTTTGGCCTGTATTTGATATATTTTTTTAAAATATTTCTAGTTATATATATATTCTTTTCCAAATAGTTCAAGAGATACTACAAAAAATGTGCAGTGTTTTGCACATTTATGGATTTTTCAATGGGTAATCTTATGGTTTTAAATAGTTTTATGGTGACTGTTTTCAATTAATTAATTAGAATCACATTTTAGTGATGAAAAATATTTCCAATACATTTAGTTATGGAGTATTAACATTTAAAATATTCAAAATAGTTTTTTCCCCCCCAAATGGTTGAATTTTGTACTTGTTTATCAGTTTCAAAGTTTAATAAATCAGTCACTGAAGGCACCTAATTAAGGTCTTGTTTTTTACAACCAAAAATGTATTTGCGCCTATTAGGGGTACTTGGCTGAAAAAAATATTTCACGGGGGGTACATCAGTGAAAAAAGGTTGAGTACCACTGCTCTAAGATCTGCTCCGTGTAGCTGCAGAACCCGTTGAAAGGTTCTAGTAGGCGGATCATGTCAGAAGCTGGGCCCACTGTGTCAGATGTTTCCTGTCATTCATTAACCTCCTTCCCTGCTGTTTGTTTTCCTTCATTTCCTCCTCCTCCTTTCAGAGGGAAATGAACAGTAGGGAAGGATTTGTTATTCTTAATGCCAGAAGCCTCCTCCTCCTCCTCATCCTCCTCCATCCTTTCAGCTGAGCTGTTTTCTCTGCTCGCAGAGCCACACACCCTATTGCGTACACAACAAAGGTTATTCCCATCACGTTCCTTCTCTCTTTGAGCATCATTCCGTAAAACTGGAATGGAAAGAGACCAGAGGGCAGTGTGATTTTAAGGCTTGGCTCTACGTACCAAACCCCTCGTCCACCGTGAAAACGAACAAGCATTCTTTCATCTCCTGGAACAGCTCCTCCCTCCCAGGAGCACATCAACTCCAACTAACTGGAAACAGGGAGAACATGACCAGCGTGGCGGAGTTGTTGTAGAACCCCAACATGTGGGTTTGGATGTTTGGTCATGTGACAAGTGAGTTTTGAACACCCTGCCATTTGGAAGTTCTCCCACTTGATGCGTTTCCTCTGTGAGACAAAGAATTTCAGGACATCACACTGCATGGCGTTTAGGGATGGGAAGTCAGAGTTAATATTTGGTACAGAAGCTTTGTTTGTAGTTCCAGAGGTCAAATGTTGCCTGTAGTTCTTGACCAGGTGTGCCCCCACTACAGCAGAATGTTGGCCCACTCTTCCACACAGATCTGCTCTAAATCTGTCAGGTTTCTGGGCTGTCGCTGACCAACACAGTTTCAGTTCCCTTCAACGTTCTTCTACTGAATTTAGGTCTGGAGACTGGCTAGGCCGCCCCGGAACCCTGACATGGTTCCTCTGGAGCCACTCCTTGGTCATCCTGGCTGTGTGCTTCAGGTCGTTGTCTTGTTGGAAGACCCATGGTCAATGCTCTGACTGAGGAAAGAAGGTTGTACCTCTTGGCCCCCTTCATCTTCTCCTTGATACAGTCCAGTCGTCCTGTCCCCTTGGTGGAAAAGCCCTCCCACAGCATGATGTTTCCACCCCCATGCTTCACAGTAGGTGTGGTGCAACGCATCCTTCTTTCTCCTCCAAACACGATGAGCGGAGCTTAAACCAGAATGTTCTACTTGGGTCTCATCTGACCACATGAAGTTCTCCCACACCTCCTCTGGATCACCCAGATGGTTGTTGGCAAACTTCAGATGGGCCTGGGTGTGTGATGACTCGAGCAGGGGAACCTTCTGTCCAATGCAGGATTTGAAACCATGACAGCCCAGTGCTCTACCAACAGTGACCTTTGAACCTGTGGTCCCAGCTTCTCCTGTGTACTTCTGAGCTGATTCCTCACTTTTCCTATCATCAGTGACACCCACCAGGTGAGGTGTTGAATGGAGCAACATCTAAAACAGACAGAGATCCATCCAACCCATTACTTATAACATTAAAAACACTAAACTTCTATGACCTGGTGGACTATAATTGAATGTTTGTACAATGCAAACAAAAAAACGTTGGTGCCTGTTTAAATAAGAGATTCACAAAAAGATGAGTAAATATGAGTTAAAAGGACATGAATTATTTAATAGGATAATCATAAAGGAGTGTTGTGTCTCTTTATATGGAGGGAAAATATGGAATAAATTCAAAAATGCAAAATCAATATTTACTTTTCAAATACATATTAATCATGAAATGCTGAAAATCTGTTACATAAACGAGTGACGGGGAGGAAAAAAGTGTGTGTGTACACATATACATGTGTGTGTGTGCGTATACGTGTGTGTATGTGTGTGTGTGTGTGTGTGTGTGTGTGTGTGTGTACATATATGTGTGTGTGTGTATACATATATGTGTGTGTCTATACGTGTGTGTGTATATATATATATATATATAAGTGTGTGTGTGTGTGTGTGTGTATATATATACGTGTGTGTGTGTGTGTGTGTATATACTTGTGTGTGTGTGTGTGTATATATATGTGTGTGTGTGTGTGTGTGTGTGTGTGTGTGTGTGTATATGTGTGTGTGTGTATATATCCAGACATAATTTAGTTCAAAGTATATTAAGAATTAGACTGTTGTTTTATTTTTATTAAAGAGCAAGTCACTCCAAATCAACATTTTTTTGATGATAAACTATATAAACTGTTGGCAAATGTAGTCAATAATTTGGCATTTTAGTTCTTCTTAGTTAAAATTTAAATATTCTGCCTAAAACTGTCAGTGTTGTGCCGTTGTCAGGTAAAAACTCTGCACAGCATTTGATTTTAAATCCGCCATCGCTATTGGCTAAGAGGTACACTATGACGTTAGATTAGGGCTGGGCGATATGACGATTTTAGACCGTTTTACGATCTACACATCTGACGGTCTGTCATTTTTGAGAGACCTTTTTATCACGATTCACAGCTCTGCTGTTGAATTTCTGCCTCTGAATGAAAATGGAACTTACCTCCGGCGATTGACACGCCTTTGTTTGACCCTTAACCAATCAGAGTGAGTCATAGTAATGTATTAGTGCCCCGCTTGTTTTCACCTGTGTGTGAACAAACATGGCTTCGGCCGCGGCTGAGAGCAACAATGAGGTTTTCGTTCCGAAGAGGAACGCAGGGTTTCCTTAGCGTGCGGCGCTAACAACTTAGCGACGTGACATGTCTCGGAGAAAGCGTAAAAACACTTTGGACGCTTCTTCTGAAGCAGGAAAATAACACCGCTTCTTAAGCAGAGCACGACGTCGCCTCGGCTCGTTCACCCTCTGCCGAGCCGGACTGAGCTCGGCCACTGGGTCGTTGGAGCTGCCCCGTGACTGCCTGATGGAAAACCAGCGGGTTTCATCAGACTCGTAAAGTTTCTTGTTTTTGCTGGGGACCCCCTGTATTTTACCGCTCCCTCCTGCGGGGGAGTGGTCTTCCCCTATTAATATTTAAAATGATTCTGTAAATTCCGTGTATCAATAGATACAATCTCTGCCTCTGCCAGCTGCAGTA